AGTTTTTTATCAAACTTTATAAAGTAAAAAACGCACTTCTAACCAAAACCAGAGTTACAGACACGTACACTTGGCAAAAACAAACTAAGAATAAACAGCACCTCGGGAAAAAAAAAAGAAGGAAAAAAACAGCACCTCAGAACATGATAACTTTCTGACTTGACAGAAACCGTTACCATTTTTGCAAGCATTCTGCAACGAAAATGAGCGATAGCGAAATTACAGAAGTGCAAAATCACAGTGAAAGTGAGCAAGTCCAACACTGTCCAGAAAGAACTAATGCACTGATATTCCACCAACGGAGAACCAAAGCACTGAATCTGAACGTCAATGAGAGCATACTCTCGCCACCACCAGCACATGTATCCAGAGTCCTTCCTCCTACTTGGCGCTCAGCGCCCAGACCACAATCACACAGCTTACTAGCAGCCTACGAATTGACAATGCATCCTGTTGACGTCAGCAGCAGAACCGAAGGACATGAACATGTCGACCCTTGTAGACCATCGCCAAGATCAGTTATCTGCCCTCACATCATCAACCTCATCTCTCTCTCTCTCTCACCCTTGACTTCATCACCCACGTCTTCTCCCTCGTACACGAAGACCACCACCACCTCCACTGACTTTGTCCAAGCCAAGCCCGGGTATGGGGGCTGGCTATGGCGCTGCCCTCAGCAGCGCCCTTCTTCTTCTTCGATGCCCGAGCGCGCCTGGCATCCGCTTGCACAAGCCAATGCCCGAATGCCTTCACCTCAGCCAGGCGCTTTGCTATATGCAAAGTGGCCTGGCTGGTTCGCCGCTCGGTCTGCCTCGCGTGTGCCTCATAGCTTCTGGTCGGGCCAAAGTGTCTGCGCCCAGGCCCGTTCAGACAGCGGCCTGGGACCGAATTCATTCCCAACCACCCAGGCACAAACATGTGGTGTTCCTTGCTTCGACCAGTTTGCTGGAAGAGCCTGAAAGGCTTGCGCGTATTTCCGATTCTCACGAACAAAGCGGATGTAGCCAAGTCGTGCATGGCTATTGTCTGACGCCCACCAAGATTTGCAAAAATTGACGAATTCAGGGCACGCACCCGATATCACATCTGCGGTTTCGGAGGGCGTCCGCTGCCTGGAGGCTTGGGCACAGGTATGAGCTTGTGCTCAACAATGTCATCAATGTCGACGTGTCCGTCCACGGCTGGGGGCAGCATTCATCGCTGGAGGGAAACTGTTCTGTTTCAGCAAAAGGTGCTAACTTGGATGCATGAAAAACAGGGTGTGTGTGGAGATGACGAGGAATGCGAAAGACATATGGGGGACCATCTGGTTGGTCTCCTACTATATCTAAGACTTCCCAGGGTCCGAAGTACTGTGGCATCAGTTTACGTGTTACGGACTCAGCCAGGGCTTGATCCCTGGTCCGCACATTACCACCCGCCAGGCTGCTATTTTATTTTTGAGTCTCTGATCTCTGGTTCCCGACTGTTGGCGCCCTCTGCAGTTGGCGTCCGTTCTCAAATCCCTCTGGCACTTTCGGATTTCAATACTTGGTGCCATCCGGCATTCTGGCGCCCAGGCTCAGACCTTTGATTTTCAGTTCAGCCTCGAGGCAAATTGCACTTCTGCCCTCGGGACTCAACTTGAGTCTGGTACTTAAGACCGGACTCAAGCTGAGTTCGGGCATTCAGTTTTTGGCCTCAGTGCTTGTGCTTCAGTGTTGACTTGCTGCGACGTTGTGTTCAGAATCCAAGATTGCGACTTTGCGACTTTGCCACTGTGTCTGCGCCCGTCGAGTCGTGTCGAGTCTGCATCGAGTTGAGTGAGCGTGTGTGTGTACTCTCACTCTCCCTCTCTCCCAGCCTCGCTGCTCGGCCTCAGCCCCTTCACACTGGTATCAGAGCGGCAAACGGCCCTCCCTCCCTCCCTGCTCCAGCGCCGCCACGTCATTGACATCATCGTTACCTCGTCACCGTCGTCGTCGCCATGTCATCGCCATCGCCGTTGTCTTCATCGTCGCTGACACATCAGCACCTCACTGCCTTTGTCATTGTTGCTGCCACCCCACCGATCCCGAAGCCGACACACAGGTAACTGACCATTAATTTTTTTTTTTCTTTTTCTTTCTCTCCCCTCTTCTTCTTCCTCGTTTCTTCTTCTTCTCCTTCTTCTTCTTCCTCGTCGACGTTATCACTTCTCCTTCTTCTTCTTCTTCTTCTCCCCCTCTGACTCTTCTCCCCCCCGCCATCCCCGACCCCC